TGATTTTCTTTTTTCTGTTTTGTAATATATTTGTTATGTATATCCTCATGTTGAAATCTGCATGCATCTGAAATCATCGAAATAAGCGTTTCTTTTTTTCTTCTACCATATCATCATTTTTTCTATTTATGTCATCTATTTATATATTTTTAAAATAATGTATGTATATTAGGATGTCCTAAAGAAATCAATAAATATTATATACTGTGAAACATGCGATTAGGATAAGACCACAATTTTATTTCTTGGATTTGTCATCTCTGCAAGAAGTATTAAACCGATCAATGTTGAACAATGATAAACCAAAAGATCTGGCTTATTTGAAATGGTTTCTGGGCATGGTAAACTTTTATAGAATAACAATCCTGAAAGATGCATTTATTCAGGCACTGTAAAATGATTTTAAAAAGGGAAACCCAAAAATCACCAGATGCTGAAATGATCTGTAGAACAAAATCGGGAATTTGATGTGATAAAACAAACTTTGGCGAATGCTGGTTTACTTTTTCTCCCAACAGACTTACCTCTGGCACTAATGGTGCTAGAATGTGGCCCCCAAAAACCTCTATGTAAAATATGAAGCAGTTAATCATTTTCGACGTATGCAAGAAGGGAGTGATTTTATCATACATACACACCATACACTGTGATTCATATAGAGATATATTTGAATTGAAGGGGTTACATTTTTAGGAGTGATTAATTTTTGGGAAAGAAAGTTTTTGGATGGAGTAGTAGAAAGCCAAAAACTTTAATTCCCAAAAATGTTCATATTTATATGTTACTTTCATAACTTATGGATGTTCATCACTGTTTGTGTTATTGTGTTGTTTATATTATTTTGACTGACTTATGGTTACATGTAGTTATTTACATTTATATGTTTTTACATTTACTGTTACTTTTATAATTGACATTTTCTTTGTTTATTGTGCATTGATTTATGTCAACTGTACTTTTCAACCAAAGAAATAAATATTATTATTAATAATTACTTTCAAAATGAAATCCTAGAATTTTAGCCCTTAGCCTAACAGATATTTAGATTTGATCAGAGTTTGTTATATATTTTGTTAAAAAACGTACCTTAATCAAAAGAATAAAAACATTTTTTGGAATATATGGAAACAAGAACGTTTTTCCATAAATACTGTTGATAATAATCGTAACCAAATTTTGTTTTCAGATGTTTGCTCGAAAAGAAAACTTTCAGTTTCACGTTTGCAATTCATATTACAAGATCAAGTGTACTCTTTGCGACAAACTTTTTTTCCAGAAAAAATATCTCACACAACACTTGAAACAAGCTCACACTTTCACCTGCAAGTGGTGCCATAATTCTCATGAGTCTAAGGAACACTTGAAAAATCATGCCTGCAGTAAGAAACCGCAAAGCCCTGACAAGAAAAAAACATTTCCCTGCACTAAATGTTCCAAACAATTCACCCTCATGAAAAATTTGAGAGTGCATTTGAGAAATCATGATTTACCAAAAGAGAGATATACTTGCCCGACTTGCGGGATGGTTCTGAATTCAAGAAAATGTTACTTGAAACATCTAAAACTACATGAGGGAAACGTTCATCAGTGTGATCAATGCCAAAAAGTTTTCACAAGAAAGGATACTCTGAAGGAACATCAAAAGAAAACTCATTTTCGAGAAGAGGTACGTGCTGGTTTGTTTTTTCAGTCTAGTTGTGAAACGTATATACATGTCAACAGGTTGCATTATTATCATCAATACTCTTTACATTTTCTCAATATACAGGGTGTAACTGAATAAGTGTAAAACATTTAAGGAGATGATTCCTCATCACAAAAAAGATAGGGTCTTTCATATAAAATTTGTATAACAATTTTTTTCACAAGCACTGAAAAAGTTACGATATTGAAATTAACCTGACGTTTTGTACTACCAAAAAGACACTTAGCCAGTAATTTATTTGGTTCACCCCATGGTTGTAAGGGGTGGAAAACGATACCCCTAAAATTTATTATAGGTATAGCTCAATCTTGAAGATTCTG